CATATCTTAACTATATACTTGCTAATTTCAGTACTGAAACTTATTTGATAATTTTGTGCAGACTCAAGTTCAAGCAAAATTCATATTATTCTTTATGCATCTTTTGGTTTTTAGTTCTGTGACATTAAAATTGTTATCAGTATAGATTAGCACTTAATAGCATATTTATAACCAGATGAAAGATAATCTGAGCTAAATGTATTTTCTTCAAGAATTATTGATTTGAAGTTATACTTAATCTATCTGCATAAGCTTTTTCTAATCCATTGGTTCCTAATCTCAGATTCCCTAACTTCTTGGGGCAGTAATAGAGGACCTTTTTTTTTCTGTTAGTTTAAAAACATTAGTCAAAATGTATGTTTACTCTCTATAAACAAAAAAGAACTTTAATATTTTTGACAGGATTGATAATAATTTAGTGAGATTCTTTCTGTGGAGCCATGTATTGTTCTTAGAACAAAGTAGGGACTCATTAAACAGCTGAATAAATCAATGAAAGAACAGTATTCCTGGCTATCACAGGCTAAATGATATCACAGTCTGACAATTTTGAATTTACTTAATGCAAATGACAAATAGAGTTGATTTAGTAGAAAAGGTTTTAAATCATGGAATCTATGTGGGAAGGCAGTTCGTGGGGCTGAAACGATTGAGAACATTCATAAAGATGTGAATGAAAACAAGGGTGAGTTTTAAGGAATATTTGTGTATTTAATCTTTATATGCCTGTGACCAGATGTCTATGCCAAGAAGCACATGTTTTTGTTTTTAACTTTCAGTTTATAGTTCCGAGGTCCTGATACTTATCAGCTTTAAAAAAAATCGTTTTCATTTCTTAGGTATTTTTCTTGCTTTCAGGCACCAGGTGGCGATACAGAGTGAGGTGGGGGGGGCATGGGGCACAGAGGTTGGATTGTCATAAAGATCAAGCATCTGTAGAGCAAACTGATGAAATTTAATATTCCCTCTGTGTGTATGTGTGTGTGTGCGTGTGTGTGTGTGCGTGTGTGTGTGTGAGAGAGAGAGGAGACGGGGTGGGGGGAGAGAGAGAGAGAGAGAGAGAGAGAGATCCTAAAAGAGAACTTCGTGAAGATTTGGTTCCATTTTGTCTGAGAAGGATTGTGTTGGCATTCCTCATCTGTATGAAACACTTTTCTTAACAGATTCCATACAATATATCGCTTGGAAAATTCAGGAGCTGCTAGGTCTCTAGCTCTTGCTAGCATTTGATTAGCATTTCGCTATACATAAGATCCTTACTCCTCCTCTCCCTCACATGTATTCAACATTTACTGAGCACTTATAATGTCCCGTGCAGTGTCCCAAACAAAAAGTTGTTTACTCATAAGCACAATCTGTAATAAGCATTAGAAATACTGTATCAGATAAGGACTGGTCCCTTCCTACTTGGTGCTTATACAGTAGAGAGAGACATGTGTACCCTAAATCAGCCTCATGTTATGGCTTCTAGGATGGAGTCAGGATCAAGGCAGGTTATAGAAGGGTCACAAGGATGAAATTGTAGCCCAATGGATAAAGAAAGCATCATGGGAGATGTGAACTTTAAGCTGAATAGTGATAGATGAATAGATGTTCATCACTTAGAATCGACTGGGAGAGAGAAGTTACAATAGTCATTTTTGTCACTTTGAACCCTTTAATTGTGTGTGGTGTATATAAGAAGTTGGCTGGATCTTAGCATTTACTTACAGCAATACTCGTAAGTACAATCTGTAGTTAACATTACTAGCCTAATTTTTGAATGTGAAAAAGTGAGAAAATACATGTTTGGAAAATTCAACTCCTCCACTTCCTCCCATGTATGAGAATTTGTGTGGTAAGAGTAATTTTGATATTAATTAGACTTTATTCAAATGTTTTTATTGGGTCAGGGCAGATTAAATATGTGTCACCTGAACTTTGTACCAGAGAGGCCCTGGAAGTATGACTCTGAGAAAGGTATAAATAAAATTAAATTTAGAAGATATTCAGAGAGATGGACATTTCAGGAAATATAAGAGACTAAAGAGAGAACAGTAAGTTAGATTGATGCAGTCTCTGCTGTGAGCATCAAAACAAGGAAATTTGTGAACTGGTCAGACATAGTCCATCAGAAAAGGCTTGATTCCAAAGAGAGGGTATTTGTGGTTTTAACTAGAAAGACAAAAGAGTCTTGAGAGGATAATATAATAAAAAGATGCTTGACAAAATTTGGGCATGCATAATACACTAATCTAGGTTTTAGAAAGCTATGGAGAGAGCGAGGTAAGCCTTTAAAGTGAGGGTCATATCTTATTCACTGCTGTTTTTCCAGTGCCAGTCACAGGCCTCACAGATCTGGAAAATGGCTGTGCAAAAGGTATGTGTTGAGTGAATAAATTTAAGAAATAAAGCAGATGGTGGATGTTTGCAACCAAACAAAATTGGATTAAAAAATGTTTATTAGGCAAGCATAGAATGAAATATAAAGTAATGTCCTTTAGAAACCGTTGATGGATTTAATCAGATCAAACTTACATAAATAATGAGAAACAGCTTGCTTTTATAGAGTTGCCACTCAAATGGATTCTAACATCCCTAAGAAGAAATGTATTCCCTCCCTCCCTTCCTTCCTTCTTCTCTTCCTCTCTCCCTCCTTGCCACCCTCTCTTCCTCCCTCTCTGTCCCTTTTTTTAAGTTCTTTTTAATATTTTTGTTTTTATTTCAGATATATTATGTTAAATGCATTCTTTAATTTTATTCTTTCCTCTTCTCCTTTCCTTTCTTTTCCCTTCTCTTTTCACCTTTTCTCCCCTCCTCTCCTTCCCTCTTTCTCCTCTACTCTTGTGTGTTGTGTCAAAGATAGTATTGGAAATAAACAAAATGAAGCATAGTCCCAATGGTTTAATGTAAAGTATGAAAATATTAACCCTGTGCCCTGGGTTGTGGTCAAGAGAGTTCCAGCAGCAGGTTTCAGAGCACCATGGGACCTTCTGTTAGGGTGAGGGGAAGCAGTGTTCTCTAAGCCTGCCTTATCAGCACATGTATTCCAGAAATATTTAATGCACAGTTATTGTGTGCTTGGTATTGTGTTAATAAGCGCTATGAGGAATACAAAGCTCCCTGTTCTTTAAGAAACTTAAGAGATCATATATGGGTCTAGAATCTAGACTCTGGATATACACACAAATATAATATCAAATGTAAAGTGATGCCATGAGAGACGAACCAATTCCATAGCAAAGTTGTTTTTATCCTGGCAGACAAAAATTGAAGTTGGATCTATTCAGGTTTACATTTCCAGGAAAAATATACATTTGTATTATTAATAACAATTGTCCAGGATCAGAAAGCCCTTTCTAATAACGGACATAAATCCTTATGGGGTAAGAACCCAATTTATTTTTCCATTGTTTTAATACTTTTGATTAAATTCTTAATTTGAAGGGTTTAACTCAAAATAAAAGCCTACAAACTCCCAATAAATAGAATTGTTAAGCCTGTTGGGATATCTTTCCTTAATTCACTCTTGACATATTTTAGAATGTAGCTAACTTTCTAGAATGCGGTTAAGGTATTATCTTACATTATTATTAAGTTGTTGAGTATATTTGATGAAAAATTAAAGCAGTTTTTTTTAAAATTCAGGCCACTAGAGTTCTACTATTATTAAAGAACCAGGTCTATCCTAGTTAAAACATTTTTTTTTCAAGATAGGAAGTAATAACCTACAAAAAATATTGAGGATTAAAATGGGTCCAATAGAGAATCTTCATGGAAATAAATGGAAAAAAAACCCTTAACTAACGAATTAATCCTCTCTCCCTCTCTCTTGCTCTTGCTCTCTCGCTCTCTCTCACACACACATACATGCACACACATGCATCTCTCACATTTTTCTGCAACTGAGACTTCTAGAATTTTTATATCATCAAAAGGCTTCCCTTCTGCAGAAAGCCCTTGACCCTGAGGTGCCTTGGGAAATCTTAGGACTTGGCCTAATCCTATATATATTCCAGACAAACTTTGACAGCCTTATTGCTTTTCATCATTAAGTGATCCTGGAACTTTTCCTAAATATTCAGGCATGTTAACACCAGCATCTTGATTCACTTCCAACGCAACCTTCAATTTATTCCACTTATGTTGGTCATAGCATTTTTCCCCAGTCCTTCTGTGACCTAAGCCATTCTAGGAGACTGCTGTGCATGCTATTAATATTTGTAGAGTTCTCAGGAGACAGAAGCTATAGAAAAGCTAAATACCATGGTTTTGTTATTACTACTAATTACATGGCTCTACCTCAAAGGAATCAGGGTGAGAAGAGATGAATTAGCGTTGATAAATGACTTGCAAAATAGAATATGCTGTAGAAAGGTTCTAAATATACTATAAAGAGTGGAGACAGCATGCAAATGTGATTAGGGAGGTGGGGTCAAAGGGCAAACACTGGAATACGGGTGTACTTAGGGTCAGTATAACCAAATTCTAGTATGATGTAATTTCCTGCACATACCAATCTCAGAGGCAGGCTCTCAGGAAACAGGATATTTGATATGGCAGTGCAGCCTTTCTTATGAAGGGTACCAGGAAAGAACAACAGTTGACTTTTTTGCTGGGCTGTGATCTTCCACTTTCTTTATCTGCCAGCCCCCCACTAAAATCAATAATCACTGTTGTAAATAATTTGGAAATGCATGTTTTTAGATAAAACTTACTCAGCCAGACTCTTAAAAGAAAAACTATTATAAATAAGAAATTTGATAGTGTGGATAGTATGATGGAAGCTGGCAATTTATTATTTAAAATTTCTTTGGAAGTTGGATCAAAAAGATGAGAAGCTCAGACCTTGAATCAGACTAAACTTACAAGAGGAGACGGAAGATCGAAGGACATTTATTCTCTAAAAAATCTGATCTGAATGGGAGAAAATGAGACGAAGTGGCAAGGCAATGAGTCTGTACAACTCAGGCAAGGTTTGTACCCACAAAGAAAAATGGGAGCAATAATTCCATCTTATTTATACATATTTTATTACTAGTTTTCATGTGTTCACCACACAGAGATGCCATGAAGCCAAGAGAGGCTTAGTTTTGTGAAGGACTTTGCAATTTTCCTGTAGGAAAGTTGTCACCACGAAGGACTTTATTACCACGTACTTTGGTTTCCAGGTGCAAGTGTGTCCAAACCCCAGGTGCAAATATATCCAAATTTCAGCACCATAAGGTTTCAGTTTCTCACTTGTGTTTTTTATAGTACCTGCCAACACACGAAACACAGTAGAAAGGTTTGATCAATTTTTAAAATGAATTTAGAAAAAAATAGTAACTTGCAGAAACTTTGAATTCAGAGTTGAAAGAGCGCTTATAAATGATCAAACCAAACCTATTCTTGGAGCCGAAATTCCTTCTCCAGTATTCCTGGCAGACAGGATCTGGCCTTGCTTAAAGATTTTCACAGATAGGGAGTGGCTATCTCACAGAACAGCTGTTTTCTTTGTAAAGTGGAAATTATTCTTATGAAATTTATATGAAAATTCTGTGACTGTGTGTGTGCCTGCCTGCATAATTTATATTTCCATCTAGGAGAGGCATATTCCCTATATAATTGCATTTGCTTATTCAAAAGCTAGTCACATGGGTTGAAAAGTATGAGGGCACTTATGGGGAAAATAAGGCAGAATTGGGATAGTACTTTAAATCTGGGAAATGTGCCCACAGTATTTACTGCTGTTTTAAGAAAGCACATTTATGCTTTTAGTACCATGCAGATCTTTTTGTTGATTTAGGACTTCTATTTTACAATGAAAGAAGATTGTAAATGAAACTTTACTGATTTTCCTTTTCCTGTAATAATCAAATGCTCTTAGCCACTGGATTTAATGAGTAGCAGCTGTGCTTGAAGTGTTCTTATAAAAATTAGAAGTATGATAACATCTAAGGATTTTGTTGTTGTTAGAATAACAGTAGACTTAGGAATTAAGAGGAGGCTAAAGGCATCAATTCCTCTAATATGTCCGTCAGCCTCTTCCTGTAGTAAGTTGGAAACTGACACAGTCTAACAGATGCGTTGGGAGATATGCTGCGGTGATGTGACCTTACTTGCAGTTGCAAAGACTTGCACTGGAAGAGTCTGCTCCCTGGTGATGGTGAGGATGGTTTGCAAATTGTCCTTGGAGGCCTGATTTGCAAGATATCTGATGTTGTTATAATTAAATCCAATAGCCATAGCCCATGAACTATTAGAGACAGAAGGAGCTAGAGAGAGTGCCCTTCCAAATCTCTTATTGGCAAAATGAGGAAACTGAAGCGATTTGCACAAGATCAGCCAGCTAGCTGCACAGCTGTGACTGGAAACTGAGCCCCTACATAATGCTTATTATGTTCCACCAATGGCTTTTCCATAGCTGCATTATGGATGTAGCCACTCTCAACGAGATGCTATATAAATACTATATACCTAAAGGTTCAATCAGTTGGGTGTTTTTCTCTTTTTACCAAAACCTTTTTAGAACATATCTGATGTTAGTGTCACTTGTCTGTTCACATAAGCCTGGTGGAAGGAGTAAGTATTCTAGGGTAAAAGGGCTATTCTTCTCTGCTGGGGATGTATGGGATCCTCAGTCACAGTTGGATAGAAGAGAGTATTTTCTTCTTCTAAGTCAAGACCAAAATTCTTTATGTGATCAGTCTTTATGAGTTCAACTTAATTAAACATAATTCCAATTAATTATATTTCCTATTAGTTCCAACTCACTTCTCTAGTAAGAGATCTGTAGAGTCCCTGAGTGCCTCCCCTCTCTCACACACACATTTCTTTGTGTGGTAAGTATGAATGTGCATCTTTTCCTTTAAATGTCATGATCCCCATTCTTATTTTCTCTTTTCTCTTATTTTCCTGAGTATGCTTTTTCTCCCTGTCTACTCTCTGAGACCTTTACTGGAACCTTTATTGAATGCATAGCACATGCTTGGAGCAATTTAGGATGACTTTTCTAGGATCACCCAGATGTCCACTGTGGAGAAATAAAATAAAAACATGCTTTTCTCTAGATTTCAACATAAAGGCTTTGTTTGGCACTTTAGTTTTTTCTGTCTGTGGCAGTATGCATGTCCAAAGACCAGTACAGAAAGCGAGGCAGAAGGGATCAACATGTGCCTTACACCTGCACTGGTCACTCATTCAAGGTGCAAGGTAGGCAGGAGCAAAGAAGAGAGTGACACATGAAAAGTACCCAGGCCACATGGCAGCAGGACAAGCCAGACATGCTTGTCTATGGCTATTTGTAAACCCTGTGGGTGTTATCCCCATACTGCAAGAACAGTGATAAATACCTCATTAACCATGCCCAGCAGTGACATGTCTGCATTAGATAAAAAGAGGCAACCTTGAATCTTAACATTATATTGTACGTCTTACGCTGCCTGTTCTCTAGTGTGCAGTTCTCAGAGAGGAATGTGCCATAGTATTCCAGTAGTTATGAAAAGATAACATAAAGTGCAGCCAGCAGTCCAGAAGAGATGTAGTTAAGATTTGTCAAACTATTTGAAGTCATTTCTAAGTAAAAATACCTTACTCAATGATTCTCACGGATCCAATTTTCCAGCTAAAAAAAGGCAAAGAATACATTTTGCCATTTGTACTAGAGATTAATATCCCTTTATTTATGTGCAAATTACTTTAAAAGGTAGGAAAACCTATAAAATTTTAAAAGTTCCACACTGGGGGCTTACTCTAAGAGTCTTTGTCAAATAAAATGAATTCTCGCAGATCTGCTTTGAGCTACTTTCTTTGCCTCTAAGCACAGCCTCTCTTAGAGGAAGGAAACAGTAAAGTTCTCACAGAGAAAGAAAGCGTTTACCACTCAGTAAAAATCCCTGGGCCTCACTGTATGAAAGCTTTAATTTAGCTCGGCTCATTCCACTATGAGTTAATTTAGAACACCAATAAAAGGAGATTATTTTTGGACTGAGAATCTGCCTGGCACATTTTTTTAACTTAATAGAGCTAAATAAAACTATCCAAACTCCTGTGATTTTTGGAGGAGGTCATCTACAAGCGACAGCCCTGTGATAGTTTTCATGAACATAGCAGACCAAACGTGAAGGAACATTCTCTAATCTGGAGAGATTAGGGGCCTCATACATGAATAGACCCACTTCTTAAATACACATTAACTGGAAAAGATATGGAACGTGAACATGCGTGCACACGCTCTCCAGGCAGGAGACAGCCAGGAGAAATGGAAAGCACAGAGGCCGAGGAGTAAGATAAACCATGTCTTAGCATTGGCTATGCCGGGGAACTAATTTCCATTGGGAAAACAGCTTCATCTCTTTGAACATCAGTTACTTTTGTAAAATGGGAACAATGATCTCCCTTGAAGGGTTATAATATTGCATTTGTAAAAGTTTTATAGATTCATAATCATCTTCCAAATGTAATATTTTTGTTTTGATTGATTTACTTGCCTGTATTGACCTTTTCTATTCTAATAATAAACGTAAGGCAAGCTTATCATAGAGAATTAGAGAAATATATAGAAAGGAAGATAAGGGGAAAAGTGTTCATTATTGCATCATTCAGGGGTTTTTCTTCCAATCTTTGCATTAATCAAAGGCATTTTCTTCCAATCTTCACTGAACAATTTCTTATATAGTTAAGAAGATATCATATTTATAGGTGGAATCCTTAAAAACATAATTTTATAGATCTATAATATATATAAAGATATATTTATATATCTCTACACATATACACATATTTATATATGTATTATATGTATCTAGATATATATATCTATGAACATGATATATATTCATATATATATCTAGATACATATATGTATATATGTGTATCTAGATACATAGATAGATAGATAGATACATATGTTACTCCTCTCAGCTGCTTTGCAAGGCTAATGGTCAGGAAAAAAAAAATAGTCTATTTTAATAAGCAAAGGGCCTCTACTCTGATTCTAAAACAACCTTCTAACCTTTGAATAGTGCCTAGGTATTCTTGGAAGAAGCCTTTTTGCACTGAGTAATATATATATGTAAGTATCTAGATATATCTATCTCTAAATCTATATATATCTAGATCTATCTATAGATCACTGTGTTCTTTTGTATTACCGAAAGGCCTTTTTATAACGTAACTTTTAATACTGCATCTTCTACCTTCCCATAATCATGATCTTTATCAGTATCATCTCCAAGTCATCCTCATCATCATTTCTTGACTGCTAGGAGCCAAACCACATGTAAGTGGTTTACACGTAATGTGTTGTTTTACATTTTTTCTCAAGAATTATTCGTGTTTGTAAATGGAGACAAATATAGCCAATGAAAACAAAAATATTGAAGAGAATAATCATCTGTAAGCTTTGTGTTTCTGAGAGAAACTCCAGGACCATTTTAATCTAACTTAACTGGCAACAAGGTGACAGAAACACTGATTATTACCTTGTACTTTTTTGGAAAGTTAAAGCTAAATAAGGCTATATACTTATATATGTTTCTTGAAAGAGATTTCTTACCATAATATAACCACTTGAGAAAAACACTTTTTTAAAAAATTAAAAACTGAAAAACAAAGCATCTCTTTATTTTTCTGTTCCTAAAGAATGGAATCATTTAAAGATGGGGTAATGCCTCAGCTCAATGCAAAAAGTCTTCTTCCAAGAATACATAGGCACTATTCAGGGTTTAGAAGGTTGTTTTAGAATCACAGTAGAGGCCTTTTGCTTATTAAAACAGAACTATTTTTTTCCTGACCATTTAGCCTTGCAAAGCAGCTGAGAGGAGTAACACCATATTATTTCTTCAGCTTTCAGACATCTAGTAATTTCCATTTTCATCCACAGAACACATTCAGTGCAGAATTGGAGTAAAGTTGTTGCTGATTTGATTTGGCCAATGATTCTTAAGAAATGATGGTGGCACAAGTGTCACATCTTTCTGCCAAAACCTTGTCAGTCCAGCAGTCTCCACTGGATGGAGGTGAAGGGAGACGAGGGCTAGAGATGGGAGAGTCCGTCCTGAATGGGGAAGAGGGTGGCTGAGGAAGTCTCTAGAGGGTCTCTGGAGAAGGGGCCCCTGGCCGTTAGCTGTCTAATCCTCCCCTCAGCAAGGCCTTTTGGCTGCCAAGACTGTTATCCTGAGTGCGGTGTTGATGGTCTGTAATCCTTTGTCAGGGTAATTGACGGCGAAGTCTGCACTTTTGCAGCTAATGATAAATAGAGCTTTTAAAGGTTGTAA